AACAAGCTTTTCAAATTGCTGCACCCAAAAATCCATATACATTGAAGACTAGGAAAGGAAATAGGTTGGAGATGACCCTTTCATGATGTTGCTATTGAAGTTTGGTCCATTTCAATGATTGCTTCCAACTCCTCACAGCACTTTATATCCAAAACTTTCAATTGCGCAAATTTGGAGCAAGCATAGAAGAAAAGAGAGATTTCAGCCTATTACAATTTGACACTTTTTAAGTCTTTAAGATAAGGAAGGCTTACAATTTGGATGGGACCTTAGAACTCATGTATACCCTTTAGATTTAAAATCTTTATCGTTGAGAATAAGTGTCCATTTTGAATTTGAAATATATTCTCAATTAATAGTATCGCACATATTTTTTTGTTCAAACTCAGAGAATCGTAATTCTTGTATAAATATAAAAATATCATAGTTTCATTAAATTTTGAATAAGTTACAATGGTCAAAGAATATATGACTTCAAAAGTACCAAATCATATATATATATATATATATATATATATATATATATATTACAATCTATAAAACTAGCTTTTTTAGCCCGTACAAGGTACATGAATTTTAATTAAAATTTTCATAATTTTAAATTTATTTTTAATTATTTATCTAATATATAATCATATATTTATAAATGCTAAGTTATAATTAAATAATAATTTATATATAATATATTATAAATAATGTTGTTCACCTAAAACAATCTAAACTTTTGTAAATTTTCAAAAATTATAAAAATCCCTTTTTTATTGAAAAATAATTTTTTTCAATTTATTTGCTAAATATTAAAAATTTTGTTACCGCTTTTTTCTTGTTTGAAAAAAAAATCAAGAATCAATATTTAAATAGTTAAAATTAATAATTGTTTTTATCATAATGTTGATTATGTGGTGTGTGTGTGTATATATATATATATATATATATATATTATTGAATAACAAATCACAATTATTAATTTTGTTATAATCATTTGCTTTTTATTAGTTTTTATTTTTGACATACTTCAAGTAATTATTTACATAAATATATTGGGTTAACAATTATTTCTATAAATGTCAACAAATAAAGTTATGTTTTAGATAAAAGGGAAACAATAATTCTTTATGTTATACTTTAAAACTTTTTTTTGAAATATATTTTTTATTTTTAATAATTTTTAACATAATTGATAATATCTTTTGTGAGTTAGATATGGTAGTGATCATTATTCTTCTCAAATCATCTATTGTAGACAAAGAAATTCAATAATAAAAAGTATAACAAAAGAAAATAGAGAATATAAATTTACATATTAATTTATCAAGGATAAATATATATAATAAAAGTAAATATGTTAATAAATTAACAAAGAATAAAAACATTGAAGAAATGAATAAAACAAAAAATATATAATACAAAATTTTAATTATAATCAATCTAAGCAAAACTAAAAAAAGTTATCAATTAAAGAAAAACAAATAAATTAACCAAATATATAGTATAAAAATATTTGAATTAGAACATAAATAAAACATTATATTTGTTTTCAAAGTAGAATTATATTTTTATCTAACTTTTTTATCAACATTCAAATGTCTTATATTTTCAAATAAAGACGTAAGCTTTTATTCTTTAAAAATACAAGCTTTTTAGTAATAATTCATTAAGTTATCTAAAAGTATTAAATTTAAATAATTTATTAAGTAGAATTATTTGACAGAAAATAAAATTTTATTAAGTATATATATTAGAAACCATCATTAAATTTAAAAAGAAAAGATAAATTATGATTTAATATATTTGAATTCAAATTTTATTCAAAAATTTCAATATGAGATAGATATTGATTTCAATTTAAATAATTATCCAAAATGTTCAATTGAAATAATTTATTAAAAAATTTTATTTGATAAATAAAATAATATAAATATTGTCTTATACATTATTAAAATAGGTTATCCACCTAGGCATCTACATAAGCAATTTTGATCATGTAATCTTGTATGTTGTTATAATATATATATATATATATATTAGATTATCAAATAAGATGTGCTGATATATATGTTTACTTAAATAATTTCTTTGTAGGATAATGTTATATTATTATATTATTTATCAAATAACTCTATTCAATAAATTATTTAAATTTAATATTTTAGAATAATTATTTAAATTCAAATCAAAATCTATAAAAAAATTTTGCATAAATTTAAATTCAAATATATTAAATTATAATTTATTTTTTCTTTTTACATTAATCATTGTTCCAAAAATATATATGTATTTATATGCTTAATATATTTTTATCTACCGTCAAATAATTTTATTTAATAAATTATCTAAATTTAATATTTTTGGATGACTATTTAAATTCAAATCAAACTCTACCAAAAGTTAAAAATTTTATATAAGTTTTGAATTTAAATATATTAAATCATAATTTATCTTTTTTTTTTAAATTTAATCATAGTTTCAAATATATATATATACACACTTAATAAATTTTTATTTGATGAAATTAGAATCTAAAATTGAAAGTAAAGAGTTTATAAAGTGAGAGGTCACCTTCTAGCCAAGCTTATTTTATTTGTTGTTATTAGAATTAAAAATTTAAGAATACAAGCTTTTTTTTTTTTTTACTTGAAGGTTATGATTTATTGGTTTTCACGGGAATGGACAAAAGTTAGAAAGAAGAGTAAATCACATCATACTATGAACAAGTTCATTTTTGCCTTTATTATTCTTTTTTTTATTTTCTTTTTTATTTGCAAAAATAAGTATGTGATGGTGTTGAATTGATTTTACTTTTATATAATTTTTGCTTAAATGACATTAATTTTTTTATCAAATTTCAAAAATGGAAAGAAAACGTACATACATTTGGATTGGTTTCAACTCGGTAACAGGTATGGATCATTACTTTTTTTCATAATTTATTTTATTTCCTTCATTTGTTTGTTCCTTCAAACTGTTTATTTGATTTTATTTCTATTATATGATATTTACATTTGATTTGATTTATTGTTAAAAAAATTTGATTTATATATTTTTATATATTTAGTTAAGTTGGATATTTGTTGTGAATAAGTTCAAAAGATTTTAACTATATATGCGTTCTCAATTTGTATATTTGGTTTTTTTTATACATGTATCTTTGATTTATGTTTTAATAAAAAGCAAATATATATGTTAAAGTTTGTAAAAAATAAGAACTAATAAAAGCAAATGGTTATGAACAAATTAATAATTATATATGGTTTATTGTTCAATCAAATATATATATAAGAAATTATTATTATTTGATGTTTTATTTTTGGTTCAACTTTATAAGATTTAATAGTTTATGAATATTCTATTAATATAAATGTCTTTTACAATTTAATAAAATGATGTATTTTTTATATCCATATTAACATTATCATAAAAAAATTATTAATATTAACTATTTAAAGATTGACCCTTACTTTTTCGATCAAAAAATAAATAATTAGTAACAAAATTTTTGGTATTTAGCTGAAAATTCACTAAAAATTTATTATTGTAGAAATTTAAACAATCCAAATTAAGTTGAATATAACTAGAACCTAGAAAGCATGAATAGTGACAAATAATATAGTTAAGACATGACATGGTATAAAGTGTTAGCTTTCTCAACTTGCAAGCCACGTAATAAGTACAAATTTAGTTTAGTTACTAATATAATTTAATTAAACTTTATTTCTTTTAAACTTCAACAGAAGTTAACTATATGATCAATACATAAAGTTTAGTAATTTCTCATTATTCATTAAAGGAGAAATGGAAAGAGAATAGGTACCTCAAGCTCACCCATTTCATGGGGAAAATCAATGATTTGCACTAATCCATTACAGAAATGTATGGAGAGTTCTTGTAGATGCAACAAACTTTGAGCAAGGCAAGGCGGGAAGATGGCTTTCAATTCACCGCAGTTCCAAATGTTTACAACCTTTAGACTTTGGAGGCTTGCATGATATTGATGGGTTGATTGTAATTTCCAATACTCTCCAATTCTGGTAAAAGGTATAGATACAAGCTTGTTAGATTTGAGAGTAGTGGCATCTGACTAATTTTTTCCTTTTCAAGAAGCACATCCATTTCAAATACCACTTTCAACCGCTTACAATCTCCAATGGTCACATCTTTTAACTTTTATAAGAAGCTAATCGGAGGCGGACCATGGCACAATCCTTTCAAACAAGTCATGTCCTCCTTTCTTAATTTCACCAAATTAGAGAATGCAGTGGTTCTTTCTTTCTCTCCTGTTGTATCCATCAAGCATTCCATATCATCGCAATCTCCAAGCTCAAGAGAAGTTAATTCATTTAGGCCCTTTGGATCTACGTTTGGGACAATATTTTTGTGTCCCTTGACATCCTCCAGATTCAACTTTTCCACACTGCAAAACAACTCCTTGAATGCACTAAATGAAATGAGAAACGTCCGATGTTCAAGGTTCTCAATTTTAGCTCCGGTATAAATTGAAGATCTTCATTTATAGCTATAATGTAGCTTTGTAATTTAGGGAACACAAAGTTTTCTGGAAAACATTGAGCAGTAGAAACTCTCAGTGATAGCGCAGTCAATCGAGACAATGAATTCAACTCTGATAGATTAACATTGTTTTCACAAGTCACGTGTAGCTGTTGGAGTGATGTCAACCTGTTTGTTACACACAATTACAAAAAACTATTATCAAACACTTCAAGCGAATCATAAAAATAGAAGTAAACACAAATTAATTTTAATTATCTCAGCAAATATAGCCTGATTCTTCAGCACCTTTCTTAAAAAAAGGGCTACAACTTCGAATGGTTCATAATAATGGGAGTGACCGAAAGCTTATGTTAGATATGTATCCCATAGTTTAATAAATAAAAGAAAAATAAATAACATAAAACTAAATACTTAATTTTGTGCAATATGCCAAAAAAATAATTGACATCTACTATTACCTTGATAGTAAATTAGGGGGAAAATTGATCTGTTCACTTCCTGAGTAAAAAAAAATGTAGCGATTTTAGACCACGCAATAGCTCATAAATATTAGTATCAGAAAATGCAAGAATCTCAAGGTTTTTCAAATTTCCCAACGATGAGATGTTCTCCAACTCACAATTTACTAGACACAGAGTTCGAAGATTTGTTACGAATTTAAGTACTTCTAGTGAGAAAATGACATCTTGGAGATGCAAAACTCGGAGGGCTTTCATTCCTTTAACAAATGCAATCGCGACTTCCACCAAAGTCTTTCCTGTAAAAATCAAAATTTTGAGTTCTGGAAATTCTAACTTTTCAGGAAAAATATTTATTTTGCTGTTCCAAAAGGAGATTGCTGTATGGGATTCACATCTTTCACTTATAGGCCATTCCATCAACCCCTCTTTTACCATGAATATATTTTTCCCCGTAGATGTTATCCAATGAGCAAAATCACGAACCACGTCATGCATACTTACATATCTTTCATCATCATCATCATCAGTTCTCAATAACAAACCAGCCTCTTGGAGTTTTCTTAGTGCTTCACGAATTTCTCTCCGCAAGTCTTCAATTAAGTAAATATGAGAAAATAATCCATGACCAATTGCAAACATAACCAACAACTCAATATCAATATCCCAATCTTCTGGAAAAAGGGAACATAGCAAGAAACATGTTCGAATATTATCTCCCTTCAAATAATCATAACTCAGCTTAAGGCAGTTGTAGATACCTTGAGAAACCTCTTCATTGTCTAAATGTCTTAAGTCCTTGAGTCGCTTATTTGCTGCTTTCCACCCATCTAGACTTGCACCTTTTAATTCTTTTCCGATTGTTGCAATTGCATTGCATTCACTAGCAACCTCCTTGGCTACATCATTCAATCTCAAAGAAACATCTTTTAGACCAGCAGTATCTTTGAACAAAGCCCATGCTTCACCTTCGGATAAGATGTCAAGTTTAAATTTCTGTTGGCAATTCATACGAACACAGACTTGTTAAAGACGTGTGGTCAGAAGAACTTTGCAACCCCCTTGTTCAACTCCGAATGGAATACCTGCAGTCTGCAATTTAAATTCATTCCAAACATCATCGATAATTATGAGGATCTTCTCCACGCCTTGCAATCTCCGCTCTAACTCTTCTGCTTTTCCTTCTTTCGTGCTTGCTTCAAATTTCAAACCTAATAATTCTGCAATTTTATCTTGAATTTTGCTGAGGTTTGGCGCTTGGGACATTGTAGCCATCACAACTTTGTCAAAGAGCTTTTGCTCTTTAGCATGCTTCCCAACTTCTTTTGCCAAAGTTGTTTTGCCTACCCCTGGCATTCCATACAATCCAATCATGTTCACACCATCAGTATTTAGAGCCTTGATGATCTCATTGAAAGTAAAATTTGAAGACTCATTAGGCATGAAATCTTTAGAGGTGAAGAATTCTATTCCTTCTAGAGGAGCACGGTGCCCCACCTGGGGAAAGTTACAACTCACAAGTAGTTTATCGATAGAGATCGTCTTCTTTGCCACTTTCTTACTTAAGCAAAATCGCCAACCCCAACTTGGACACCAATTGAAACACTTCATACGTTCTATTTCAGCTTCCAGACACCGGGTTTCTTCCAGTTCTTTCTCTGCCCTTTTTAACCAGTCTAGGACATCCTTCTCAATTACCTCATTTTGCCTTATAGCCTCTTCGACATCATTTTTTAACCGATCACTTTTCAATTCAAGTTCATTTCTCCGATTCTTGAATTCTTCAACAATTTTCCCAAATCGGAAAAAGTAACTAACATAAGGTGATGCATATTCTGTTGTGAGGTTTCCTACAGCATTGGCAGCAGCAGAGGCAGCAAATTCAGCAGCCATTCTTTGATGATCTGAGATTGAAAAACAACTTTAATGATTAGTAAACATATAAACAGCTAGAGAGACAAAAACAATTGTGAATGTTTGCAAAGTACCTTAATTACTTTGGAAGCCAATTGTGAAGTAGAAGAGAACAAATTGTTGATGGAACAACTTTGAAATTGAAATTCTGCAAATGGAAGAAATTATTCAGTGTTCATGCGTATATTAAGAATATATGTTACATGTGTTAAGACTAATGGCAGTACTTTTTTATCATTAAAAATGAAAAAGAAAGATACAGCAACATTATTTAAGTTAATGTCTTTTAATTTTAAAATATCAATCCTTTTACGTTTTTTTATCCTTAAAAGTACTTTTTAGCCATTTGTCTTATCTATTTACAGAAATATAATTAATTTAAATTTTATGTTGCTTACTTTATTCTTATCTTCCATTACATTTAAAATTTTCATAACTCATTCCTAAGGTGTTATAACATTTCTAACTCATTTTACGTCAAATGATATTAATTTTATTATCTCTTTTGTCTGTTTATGTTATTAATTTTTTAAAGAATTTTATTTTTATTTTCAAATATTAATTGTTTACATTTTTATTTTTTAGACTTTAAACTATTTTTTAGCCATTAACCTAAAAACATTTATAGGAAAAATAATTAATTTAAATTTTACTTTACCAACTTAATTATTTAGATTAAAATAACATTGTCAACGTTTACTCTTATATTCCATTACATTTATAATTTTTATAGCCCTTTCTTAATCCATTACAATACTTCCAACGTATTTTACATTAATTGATATGAATTTTATTACTCTTACATGTTGACATTTATTCTAATCTTCTATCATGTTTAAAATTTTCATAACTCTTTTTTGTATTGTTATGATACTTCTAAATCATTTTATACTAGTTGATATAAATTTTATTATTCTTCTCACTTATTTACACTAATAATTTTTTTCAAAAAAAATATTTTTGACTCCTTTTACATTAATTGATGCAAATTTTATTATTATTCTCAAATATTTACGTTTATTCTTACTTTTTATTACATTAAAATTTTTATAAATGTTTACTATTATGTTATCACACTTCTAATTACGTTATTTTTAATTTTTTAATATTAATTTTTTAACATTAACTTTTTAACCTTTAAAGTATTTTTAGGCATTGGCCTAAAAAGTTTACAAAAAAATAATTAATTTAAATTTTACATTACCAGCTTAATTATTTATGTTAAAGTAATATTTTTTACACTTATTCTTTCTTTTTTCAGAACTTTTTTGTCCTTTTCTTTGAGTGGTACAAGTTATACACTGGTTGATACAAATTTTATTATTACTCTCACATGTTTAAGTGTGTTTTTGCATTCCATAATGTTTAAAACTTTCATAAATTTTTATTAGGATATCACAACACTTTTAATATATTTCATGTTAATTGAATCAAATTTTATTATTACTCTCACATTTCTATGTTTACTCTTACCTTCCATTATGTTTAAAATTTACATAGTTTTTTTCTTATGGTGTTATAATACTTTTAATCCATTTTACATAAAATTATATGAATTTTATTATTCCTCTCTCTTTTTTACATTAACAATTATTTTAAAAGTTTTTTATTTTCAAACATTAATTTTTACCATTGTCTTTTCTTTTTTAGTCTTTAAAGTATTTTTTAGCCATTGACCACATATTTATAGAAAAAATAATTAATTTAAATTTTACATTACCAACTTAATTATTTATAATAAAATAATATTTTCTTGCACTTATGCTTGCCTTCTATTATGTTTAAAATTTTTATAACTTCTCTTAAAGTGTTACAACACTTCTAAACTATTTTATATCAAATTATACGAATTTTATTACTCTTTTCACATGTTTATGTACATAATCTTTTAAAAAGTTTTTATTTTCAAATATTAATGTTTTAACATTGTATTTTCTTTGTCATTCTTTAAAGTATTTTAGTCATTAGTCTAAAAATATTTACAAAAATAATTAATTTAAATTTTACATATGTCAATTTAATTATTTATGATAAAATAATATCATCTCAGGTTTGTCTTATCATCAATTGCATTTAGAATTTTAATAGCTTTTTTCTTCAAGTGATTCGATGCTCTTAATCAATTTTACATCAACAATACGAATTTCGTTATTAGTCTCACCGTTTATATTTATTCTTGCCTTTCATTACATTGAGAATTTTCATAACTCTTCCTTAAGGTGTTATGACATTTTTAACCATTCTACTCCAATTAATACAAATTGTATTATTACTCTTAGCTTTTTACGCTTATTTTTATCTTTTTTTTTTTAACATTTAAAATTTTCATAACTTTTTTCTTAAGACATTAATGCACTTTCAATCTATTTTACATCAAATTATATGAATTTTAGTATTCCTTTCACATGTTTACGTTAACAATTTTTTATTTTTTGTTTTTAAATATTAAATTTAAAAAAAATGGCTTTCCTTTTTTTGCCTTTAAAGTATTTTTTAGCCACTAGGGTAAAAATATTTATAAGAGAAATAATTATTTAAATTTTAAGTTGTCAATATAATTATTTACTATAAAATAATATATTCTTTCACTTATTCTTATCTTCTATTATGTTTAAAATTTTCATAACTCTTTCTTATAGCGTTAAGATACCTCTAATCCATTTTAGATAAATTGATACAAATTTTATTGTTACTCTTGCCTATTTACTTTTATTCTTAGTTTTACGTCTGAAATTTTCATAATTTTTCTTAGTGTTACACAACATTTATAACTTATTTTACGTCAATTGATATGAATTTAATATTGCACTCACCTTTTAACATTTATTCTTGACTTCTACAACATTTAAAATTTTCATAGCTCTTTCTTAGCATGTTACAACATTTCTAACCTATTTTACACCGAATGAGGCAAATTTAAATTTTCTTCTCACGTATTCATGCTAATAATTTTTTGTTGAATTTTTAAATTTTTAGATATTAATTTTTAAAGGTATCTTTTCTTCTTTAGCCCTTAAAATATTATTTTAGCCATGACCTAAAAATATTTATAGAAAAATAATTAATTTAAATTTTACCATACCAACTGAATTATTTATATCAAAATAATATTTTTTACGTTTACTCTGAGCTTCCAAAATACTTGAAATTTTCATAATTCTTTATTAGGGTGTTACAATGATTTTAACGCATTTTACTACAAATGATATGCATTTTATTATTTCTCTAACATGCTTGTGTTAATATTTTTTGTTTTTGAAGATTATTTATTTTCAAACATTAATGTTTAACATTGCCTTTTATTTTTTGAGTCTTTAAAATATTTTTTAGTCATGGTCTAAAATATTTACAAGAACAATAATTAATTTAATTTTTATACTTATTCTTCATTTTTTATGTTAAAATAATATCTTCTTATACTTATTCTTTTCTTAATTATTTATGTTAAAATTTTTATAACTTTGTCTTTTGATCTTATAACACTTTAAACCCATTTTACAACAAATTACACTAATTTTATAATTTCTTACACATGTTTACTTTAATACATTTTTTAATTTTTTTATTTGCAAAAATCAATTTTTTAACAGTGTCTTTTTTTACTTTTAAGTATTTTTTAGTCATTAGCCTAAAAATATTTACATGAATAATAATTAATTTAAATTTTATGTAACAACTTAATCATTTATGTTAAAAAATATCTTTTTACATTTATTCTTACCTTTCATTATATTTAAAATTTTATAATTCTATCTTAAGTTATTACATCACTTCTAACTTATTTAAACTAACTGACATTGATTTTATTATTCTTCTCAACTATTTATGTTAATAATTTTTAAAATATATTTTAAAATATTAGCTTTTTATGTTATCTTTTTATCCTTGAAAGTATTTATTTAGCGATTGATGTTATATATCTATTAATTAGAAAAATAATTAATTTAAATTTTACATTACTAACATAGTTATTTATGTTAAAATAATATCTTCCAATACTTAAACTTTGCTTGGTTAAAATTAAAGATGGAAAAGATCAGGAATGAAAACTTATTAATCCAATAATTAAAATTTATAATCACTTTTTTATTTTGTAGTTTAACTATTAGATTAAAAAGTTTCATCCATATCCCATTTCGTCTTCTATATCAAGCCAAGCCTTATTCTTACGTTTTATTACTTTCAAAATTTTCATAACTTTTTTTTTAAATGTTACAATATTTCTAACACTTTTTAGGCCAATTAAAACAAATTTTATTATTTCTAGATCTCACATGTTTACATCAATATGTTTTGATTCTTTCATTTTAAAATATCAATTCTTTTATACTTAAAATTATTTTAATGTTATTATTTTATATTTTCCTTGAAATATTTTTATGTTAATAATACTTTTTAGCTATTTTAAAAGATACCAATTATTTTAAATTTTTTAAAATAAATATTTTATTATTTTTTTTTATTTTAAGTAAATTCATAAACAAGTAAGAATGAAAAATCAAAGACTACTGGAGGCAAACGAAAAATGAAGTTGAGCATAGCAAAAAATTATGAAGAATAAAATTTTTATATAAATGGTTTAATAATTGAAGCATACCTCGCTTGGGATGGATCTTCAAAAGCTGTATGGATCTGTAAAGGAAATCTAGGACCAGGTTTGTTTTTTTTTTTTTTTCTTTTTCCCTGTTAAAAGAACCGACAATGAGAATCAATAAAAGCAAAAAAAAATTTGCTTTTTTAGTTATAAAAGCAAAGTAGAAAATCAAGGAAATTAAAAGAGCACCAAAATTTTTTTTGTTGAGTTATAAAAAGAAGAGCAATAAGGCAGAAATCAAACAAAGGATTTGGTACTTTAGCTAGCTGGAAGATGTGGAGATAATGATAGAAGACGATGCTTGATTGCTTCAATGGAAACTGTTTGAGGAGAAAGTTGTAAGAGTAAGGTAAGGCTGCAACACAGAAGAAAAAAGATCAATATAACAAGGAAATATGAAGTTTCAAGATCCAACAACTTTGCTTCGATTGAATAAAAAAAATTCAACCATCAAAGACTTCTGTGACCAATTGAAACTACAAAGAAAGTTTCATCAAAGACTTCTCTAATTTCTTTGGATTTTTTTTATTTTATTATTCCCTTTGTCTCATTTTTTTTTTATATCTTAAAATTATGTATTTTTTAATATTTAA